ATCCGTCAACCCATCTGGGAGCTATGGATCAAACGCAATCCAGGTGTTGCTGGGAAGGGATCTTGCCAATGCAGTTACCTTCTGCAGTCAGCTGGCTTTAAGGAGGCGGGCTAATCCCTGTCACTGCTGAGAGCCTCACCAGTCAGCGGCATCACGGCCCAGTGCTCTGGGTGAGGGATTGAGGAGACGGGGAGGTGTTTGTTACTGGAAGCTGGAGGGAAAGTCACCCGGCTGCGGGTGGCAGGAGACCCGACTGAGCTGGGTCCTGCCGCTGGGTGGGGGCAGCAGTTGTGAGTGAGGAATTGGACGTTCAGCTCAGGAGGTTCCCCAGCAAGTGTTGAGCTGCAGGCTGGCGCCTTGCTGCTGCTCACAGCCAAGCGTGAGAGGAAAGGATAAACTCAGGGAAGCTCTGATACCAAAAATGGATCAGTACTTAGTTATTTGGGAGGTTCTTGGCCTGCCCAGGTTGCAAAAGGTGCGAAAATAGGAAAGTCGCGATTGGAAAGGCGAGTTTGGAACAGGGGCCTGTGGGTGTGGCCGGACAACTTTTTGCTGAAGAGGTTGGGCCGGTGTTTGGCTCACGAGTCTCCTTGGCCGTTTCAGCAGGAGCGAGGAGCAGAGAGGGTTGTCCAGGGGGGACCTGCAGGGACCCTCTTATCTCAGATGCCTTTGGTATACACAGGAGATCCATGGAGGTTTTGAGAGTGTTGTACCAGCAGAAATGCTGCTGGCTTGGATGGAAAGGCCGGGGCTGTCAGATTTCCAAAATTCTGTGAGCAGGAAGCGGCTCACTCAGTTGCACACGCGCACTGCCCTTCAGGACAAAAGAAAGCTCTGAGGGTGGTGCCAAGGCCAGTGGGTCCTCCGTGGGGCCAGCGGGTGGAGCACTGGGGCAGAGGAGTCTCATCAGGCCTTGAAACCTCCTGGAATTTGCTGAGCTGGATTTGAACTTAGCTGGGACCGGTGACTCCTCTATTTCTTCTTAGGAATGGGCGTGTGCACCTTGCACCATCTGCCACTGTGGTCTGGAGGCAGGTGACTTGTTTTCTAGTTCCTCGGGTGCACGGCGAAGAGGAGCGACTGCACCCAGCACCTCCCACACGCCTCATTTAGAGGAGACTGAGGGCTTCTGAGTTGAAAACGTTTAGCTGTGATTTTGGACCTGGAGTTTATGCTGTAATGTTGGTGCTCTGAGGATGTGGGCGTGTGGTGGATGTGTTGTTTATGGGATGGTTGTGGATTTGGGGAGCCCAGGAGGTGGACGGCAGGGGTTACGTGGGGGCCCCTTCCCCCTAAGACACCTGTCCGTGTCAGCCCAGGGCTGGTGACCTCGTGTGGAAAGAGGCTCTTTGCAGATGCAATTAAGTTAAGGGTCTCCAGATGAGACCATCCACGGGCCCTGATAAGGGAAGAAACGGGCAGAACCACAGATGGCAGGGTGGTGGGGTGATGGCAGCAGGGACCAGGGCGACGTGGACCACAGCCGAGCACACCCAGGGTCGCCAGGACCCCGGAGGCCGGAGAGGGCCACGCAACAGACTCCCAGGATCTCCAGAGGTAACCGGCCCTGCCAACACTGGATTTCAGGGTTCCGGCCTCCTGGAGTGTGAGAGGGTAAGTTTCTGCTGTGTTAAGCCACCACGCGGGCGGTCGTTTGTCATGGCCAGCCCGAGACGGCTGCAGTAGGAGACCTGCAGGGTCGAGGGGACTGTGAGCTTCAGGCCAGCACGTCCCCGGGGGTTGGAATCCACCGTGGTGGTGGCTTCTCCACTCCCCGCCGTGTGTCCTTCCTCTGTGCTCAGAGTCAGCAACAGCAGCCCGGTGGCCCCATGACCTTCAGAATCAGTGCGTCACCATAGCAACCAGGCGGCACTTGGTCTCAGAAGCCCTTGCCTTCTGTACTCTCTGTCCCAGGTCCCTCCGGGGGAGATTCTGGCCCCACCGTGGGCAGGGACAGTGGCTCCCCGGCTCCCACGGGGAGAGGGGACCCTCGGATTCCCTGCACGGGCGAGCACCCCGTCACGCCCCCACGCAGGCGTTTCCTGGTTCTGGAAGGGTTCTGGGTCTGGTTCCCAGAGGGAAGCGCATGCTCTAGTCGGGTGATCTGGGGAGATTTGATAAAAGGACTCCACAATGGCGTGGGCGGAGCGTGGGAAGAGCACATGTGTTGATGTCAGAATGGTGACAGGAGACAAAGGACACACGTAGCTGGCGGGTTTGCCGCGTGCCGGCCGAGGGGCAGTCTCTGCCAGCGTCGGAGGCGTGTCCCTCGGAACCCTGGCCTCTTGGCCGATGATAGTCAGGTGCACATCTATGCTGGGTCTCAGGGCTGAGCCCCGGGGACAAAACCGCCCCAACCGGACACGCGCCGTCCTCCAGCAATGCGGCCCCTTTATGTCCCCAACGCTGGCTTCTTCCCAGGCTCGGTGTCCTAGCAGCCCAGGGCTGTTTGCTTACGGTCAGGCCCAGCAACCCGGGCACCCGCTCAGAGAGCCGCAGGGCCACCATGCTACAGCGGTTGCTGGACCCACTGCCCACAGGCCCCCACTGTGTGCTCCCGGCCGCTGGATGTCATGGACATGTTTGTCCATCTCCAGAGTCACTGCCGGTCTCCTGCCCCTGGAACAGGACGGGCGAGGCCCCTGCCCTCTCGGAGCTGATGTTCTGACCAGTGTGGGCACTCGGGGCTCAGGAACTCTCTACTGCCCCTCCCCTCTCCAGCCCTTAGAAGCCACCTCGAGGAGGGGGTGGGGCTTGGGTGCTCTGGGGTGCGGCAGCTCCTAACCCTTTCTCTTGCTCACGCCCGCACCGTGCACCCCACTCTCAGCCGGGCTTGCACCATCCGATCCTGTGTGTTGCGGGACCCTGTGCTGCGGCCGCGACAGAGAGCTGCGCCCCCAAGCCCACAGGCTGCTGCAGGTCTCGTCTGCTACGCTGGTCCCCCTCTCCCGTGGAACTCAGCGGAGCCAGACCTTAGGGTCTAGTGTCAGGGGGGCAGGCGCCTGGCTTGGCGTTTGGGGCTTTTGGCAGGGGTAGGGAAGGAGGGTCTCCCAGTTCAGCATGTAGACCTCCCCGGATGCATCCCTGCAGCCCCCTTCTCTCTGTCCTCTGTCGGCCTTGGCGTCCCCCCCCACCCCATGGTCAGCCCCTCCCTGCTACCTGCAGGTCCTCAGCCTCTCCAACATCCACAGTGACTTCTCCTGCCACCCTCCCTGGAGAAGGGGGGGGGGATGTGTTATACATTCTGATCCTTTTCTGCCACTGGCAGGAGTCTGGGACAGGAGGGAGATGAGGCGTGGTCAGAGGCTGCACGTCTTTTGGGATTGTGGGGTGCAGGCTGGGGTGCAGGGTTCCAGGCATTACACAGCTGCTGCTCTTGCTCCAAAAACACTCCTGGGGGGTAGCTCAGTGGTGGAGCATCTGACTGCAAAGGCACTCCTCCTTTGGTGCCTGCACAGCGTGACTACTGAGCCCCTCCCGGGCTACCGGCGATATTCTGGCACCTTCCACGTGCCTGGTGGAGTTGCAGGAGAAAGAAGTACCCGGGAGGCCTAGAACTCACCTCTGCACTGGAGGTTTAACTACATGCCAGATACCTACATGCTGGGGGTGGGCAGGCGGGGGGAGGCCTGCGGCAGACGGTTGGTCAGGCTCTCAACTAGGTTATGTTGTGATAAAATTACCTTCCAAATTTCAGTAGTTGACACAGGGCTGACTTCCTCTTGTTCTACAAGTCCAAGGGCGGTCAGCAGGGGGCTCCAGGAGTCCCAAAGGGATGGGGACCCCCCCTACCCTTTAGCCAAGTGGGTATGTGTGGCCGGTTGGACCCCACAAACGGCACAGATCTCCTGTGTTCACCTTTCACTGGTCAGGCAGGCTAGGCGACCACACGGAACGTCAGAGGCGGTGGGCAGAGCCAGTGGCTGCAGGGGTGGTGTTGAACTTGTGCGCGGAGGGAGGGGCCCGCAAGGGAGGTGGGGGTCCACCTTTCACCAGGGGTGCAGAGCAGGAAGGCCCCTCCAGGACCTCCGTGGGCAGGAAGGGACAGCGGGCTTTGCCTAAGAAGGCAAAGGCTCCAAAGTCAGACTGCCAGGCAACAGGAAAGCCCGGCCGCCAGTGCCAGGGCCCCGGTCCCATCCCGGCAAGGGGACCTAGCGCGACTCGGCACATGGTCCCTGGCCGGGCCTGGGCGCTGACCTGCGCCAGGAGTTGCGGCTGTGGGTGGTGCCCAGAGGGCCACGCTCAGGGATGCAGAGGACCCCACCAAGCGGGGCCAGAGAGTGCGGCGCACGTGCTCTGCGCCGCTGCCGCCCCGGGCGTGCGCGCACATACTTGCGCACGCGCTGGCAGCTCGGGTCCGGGCTGTGCGCCCCGCCCCCACCCTCCCGGGATGCTGCTCCAGCGCTGCCTGCAGCCGCCGGGCGGGGTCGGGCGCCAGGCCGGGTCCGTGCAGCCGCTGCCGTGTCCTGGGCCTCCAGCCCGGCTGCACGGAGCGCAAAGCCGCAGGTGAAGTTTATCCCTCCCCTAGATCAGGCGGTGGAAGTCCCCTGGCCGGCTTTTTTCACAAAGGCTGCAGGGGTGGGGAGGTTCAGAAACCCGAGTCCCTGTCGCCCACCACACTCAGGCCGGGTCCACCAGAAGGTCCCCACTGTCCTGCGGGGCAGAGCTGGCCCGGTCCCGGGATCCCAGCCGTTTGGGGCCTCCAGGATACCCCAGGGGACCCTCGCCTGTCTTCCCTCGCTCCATTTCCGCGTAGTCGGTGCCGCTGTCCCGGAGCCCACTAGGCGCAGACTCCCCCTAGTCCCCAGCCCGCCGGTCCCGGGCACCCCGCAAAACGCCCCGCCCCTCCCCGCCTTGGCTCCGCCTCTGCCCTCGGCTCCGCCCCTGACCCCTTCCCCGCGGGCTCCTCCCGGGCCCCGGCCCCGCCCCGGCCCGGCCCCCGCGTGCTCGCAGGCGGCTGGGTGGCTTCGGCGCCCAGGAGAGCCGGAGCCGAGGCTGGGGCGCACCGCGGGCGCTGCCAGCCCCACCGCTCCCGCTCCCGGCCCTGCGGGCCGGCCATGTCCCCGGCTCCGGCCGCGGCGCGCACCCAGGCCCGGCAATGAGGAGCGGCGCCGAGCGCAGGGGCCACGCCGCGCGGCTCGGCCGCCCCGGCCGCGCGCCCCGCGGCCGACGCGCCCCGGCCTGCCGCCGGCCGCCGCCGGCAGCCCGGCTCGGACACGGCGATGCCGCGCACCGGCCCCCTGTTCCAGTGGAGCAAGTGGAAGAAGAGGATGGGCTCGTCCATGTCGGCGGCCACGGCGCGGAGGCCGGTGTTTGACGACAAGGAGGACGGTGAGTGCGGGGACCCGCGCGCGCTCGCAGGGGTGCACGCGGCGGTGGCGTTTTCTCGCGTCCGGACACCGCAGCCACGCGGGTGGGGCATCCCGGTTTCTCGGGAAACTCGTGGGGGGCGACTGCGGTCCACGCGCGTCCGGGGCGCACGCCCACGTCCTGGCCTCCAGCGGCGGCGCCTTGGGCGGGGGACGGGCTCAGCCGGGTCCGGCGGGGTGAGGGTCCTTGGTGGCAGCTCTGGGCTTAGGCGCGACTCCGCCCACTGTAGCCCAGGCTTTGTGTTCCATTTACCCGTTTGGGGGCGTGCGGGCTCGGCTGTCACTTTGCAAATCCAGGAGGCGCTCACCTGTGTTGAGTTTGTTAAGCGAGGTGCCTGCCCCACAGGTGGCTCAGAGGACCTCGGTCCCTCCCAGCTCGGTCTCCCGGTGGACACACCAGTCGCCATGGCCATGCCGGTCTTTGCACGCGAAGGTGCGTGGCGGAGACCCGGCCTTGCCCATGTGCTGAGACCTGCGCTCTCGGGAACTAGTTCGTGGTGAAATCCTGCAAGTGAAGCTGCCCGCCCAGGGGACAGAAGGGGTCTCTTGAGTGATCACGAAAGGTGGGCCCAGGGGAAAGCCGGAAGGAAGGCCCGGTGACAGGCAGCTGGGTATGCAGGCATTGGGCACCAGGGACCTTGGACCTAGCGCCTACAGGGAAGGGTGCCAGGGTGTCTGCCTCTGGGGCACTGTGACAAATTCACTTGTAAATATATAGCTCTTTTCTGCAGATGTCATGGAGATAATTCTAAATGGTACCATGATGACACATTTGATGTTTTTTTTGACATTTTCTTAAAATAGTTGAAATATGCATTTTTCGTTTGTAGGCAGTCTGCAGAGGTATGATGGATCTTTTATAATTTTGGCGCACAGCTCAGCTCTAGAGCCCAAGCTATTTACTTTAATAAATAATGTAAGCATTGTAGGAAATCGCAATACTACTACCTCAGGCCGGCGTTGGTGAACGTGGCTTGCGCACCAGCCCTCCTCACAGGCGGCCTCGGGCAGCCTCATGTTGGGCTGCCAGGGGCCTGCTGACTGTGGCCGGCAGGGGAAGGGCATTCGGGACCAGCCACCCAGGCCCCGTATATGACCTGGGTGGCCCGTCACTGTGTTCTGAACCTTGGGACAGCAGAGCTCACTGCGCCGGTTGTTTCGTATGTTACATGTTTTTGTTTTCAACCTAAACGTTCAAAGAAAGCCAGGGGTGAGTTTCGGCTCCCCAAGAAGCAGATTCCCGTCTGGTTTCTGGCTGTGGGTCTGGTTGCTGCTCTTAATGGTGCCAGCCGAGGGCTGCCCCTCTCTGGGTGTGACATCACGCCCCGGGGGGCAGCCACCATGGAAACTGAGACACTAAGTCGGGCAGGGGCTGCCCGTCAGCCTTTTGCGGTGGGCCGTTCCTACTTGCTCACTTGTGCTATTTCTCAGAATCCAGGAGTCATTAAAAAGGCAGAACAGCAGAGAGTCCGGGATGCTCACGGTCTGATTCGAGGACTATTTTGTGCCTCCCACGCACCCCCTTACCTGCCTGTGGTAGGTGGCGGGGGGTCGGCTGCTCCCAGTGAGGTGGCCCGTCCGCGTGGCTCACAGGTGCTTGTACTCTGTGACAGGGGACCATGGCTTGGCCGTCCCTGGGTGTAACAGCCGCGTCCCCACGCTGGACACTCGCTGGGACCTCACTGGGCTTTGTTCTGTGAAATTGGGAGGCCGAGGCTGGCCCCAGGTCCGACAGCTGAGGGTGTTCTCTGGGTTTCTTTCATTACCACTTCATCCCACTTGGTGGTGACATCCGTGGGCACAAGCAACCCAGGGGCCACAGCGCAGTGTTTACAGAAAGAACCTTGTGCCCCACATAACGGGAGGTCCCCGGGATGTGCTTGGATGGGGCAAGTGCAGTTGGAGAGGAGGAGGAGGAGGAGGACCTGATCAGGAAGGGGAGCGGCCCTGCACCCCCTCTTTCCAGGGCAGCGAAGTCATTGCCGGTTACTCTCTCGGCCCCACCGACCGCAGGGCGGGCTTCGGAGAGGCTGGTGTTGTGCTGGGGACTGGCAGTCACTGGCGCTGCACGGTTGCTATGGCGATGGGAGACCTTCTGATGAATTTTCTAGATTAAAACACCTAATTAATATATCAAATTTGGTGTGCAGAGGAAAGGGAAAAAAGAAAATAAGAGGGCAATTTAACAAAGTGCCAGGTAAATTTCAGCTGAAAAGCATAGTTGTGACATGTAAGATCTTAAATGTCCCCTGTTCCTTGCTTGGAATCCCTGCAGAATCGGACCTGTTTTCCTTACTGGGCAGGTGCCTGTGGCACACGGTGGCGTCCTTTGCACCTCTTCCCCCGCCCGGTACGGAGGGGCGGGCTCCCGGTCTTCTTCCCTCAACCCTTCCGTCCTCCCGCTCCAGTCCCCCTCCGACTGTCAGGAGAAACTCCTTTTAGGGGTGGAACTTGCTCAGGGAACGTGCTTTTCCTCTGCTGCTCTGCCCCGGAGCTGCTGCGCAGTGCTGGGCAGGCCCCTTCGTTTCCGTGTCAGTGTCCCCGTGATGCTGAGTGAGGCCGAGGGACGTTTCTAGCACCTTCCCGCCGAGCCGCTCTGTAACCTGGTGGTGACCGGCTCATCTCAGCCGGCCTCGGCCTTGGCCTACCCGTGGGGAGTAACTAATTGCTGGGAAGGTTCGGCCTTGAGCAGAGAAAACTGGGGCGAAGGCAGGTCTTGCAGGCCGTGGGGCGCTGCCCCAAGTGTGCGGGGTGGGCTTCCGGACTCACTTGTGGACGGTTTGCACTTTCTGCCACGGTGGCTGCAACTCGGACCGCGAGACGTCTGCGGTGCACATTTCCGTGCCCGTCTCCCCAGCCTTTTCCCAGGACTGGAGCCACACGTACAGCCACGTAGAAGCACACGCTTCTCTTTGCAGAGGTGGGACCTACAGCCTGCTCTGTATGCTGTTTTGTTGTGACTTGCTCTTTCATGTAGCCATGTCACCGGCGTCTCGTCGAGCTGAAGCACCGTTTGTTGGCTAAATTTACATCAGCAGCTCTCAAGCTGGGCCGTGCACTAGTTTCAGTGGACACGCTCTTAAAAACACAGGCGCCCACGCCCCAGCCCGCAGACTGAGGCTGAGTTTGTGAAGGTGGGGTTGGCGGGGGTGGGGCTCGGGCACCAGTCTGTCTGGATGCCCCTGTGACTTTTATGAAGGCCCTCAGGGATGGGAATCACGGTTTTGCAGGGCTCCTCTGTGTGGATCCAACGTTCTCCATTTGCTTGGTTTCCTCTTGTGGGACGGGAGGTGCTTCTCATTTGTAAGCATCCTAAACAACCTGTCGATGGACACGTTTGCGCGTTTGTCTTTGTGCACTTGGCACTCTCCTTAGGACACGTTTTTTGGAGTGACTGCCACGTCAAAGGGTGCCCACGTGGAATACCTGGATGTGTGTGGCTGGATCCCTCAGATTTGAGTGAAGTCCCTGGACGAGCTGGCTGCTACCCTGGTGCTGGTTACGCAGAGGTGACCAGGTGGATTTGGCCACAGTTGTCCTGGGGTGACGGGGTGGAGGGAGGCAGAGACTGAGGACGGGACAGGAAGTGCCTGGAGGAGGAGAGACAGGGAGACCCTCCTCTGTGGAGTGGGACAGTTTGTTCTTGCTCCGGGGGCACGTGGAAGTATTTTTCCCTGAATCCACACCAGTTTTGGGTATTAGCAATCTTTCTTTCTTTCCTTCCTCCCTCCCCCTCCCTCTCTCCCTCCCTCCTTCTCTCTCTCCCTCTCTCTTTCTCTCTCTCTCCTCTTTCTTTCTCTGTCTCTCTTTCTTTCTTTCTTTCTTTCTTTCTTCTAATCTAAGAGATAAAATGATAGCATTAATGCTTTGAGTTTCTTTCATTACCAATGAGATTTAATCTTTTTGCTTTTCATGTTTGGACCGACCCTCCCTCCCTCCCTTCCTTCCCTCCCTCCCTCTTTTTTTCCCCAAATTGCTAGCTCATGCTCTCTGCCGGTTTCCTCTGGGACAGTTGCTGTCATGTTGCTTTTGTCTCTTTCTTAGATACAAAGGCTTAGCCTATAACAGCTTCCCACTCCTGTTTGTCATTTATCTTTTAGTGCTGCTAGCTTTTATTTTTATTTTTTCCCGTGTGGATGTGTTTAATTTTTTGCGTGGTCACATTCATCAACGTCTGCCTTTGTGGCAGCTTCCTGTCTTGGTGTCATGTTGCAAAATCCCTTCCCAGGCACAGGTAATAATAGTTCAGTGTATAAGCCCACACCTGTACTTTCTTCTAGTGCTTCTGTGGTTTTACTTTCTAGGTTGGAAGTTTCAATCCGTGGGAAACAACGCTTGACACACAGTGGGGAAGTTTTCCTCCTGTTAGTCTCGCCCTCCCCTGGGTCGCATACTTTTAGGACGTTTCCAGGTTTAAGGTGTGAACTCTTCCATCCAGCCCCGTCCCGGCAGGCAGCTCACAGCCACGGACCCGCTCTCGGTTGTGTGCCGGCTGCTTGTTGCCGTCGCGCTGTGAATGGGACGGTCTTACCCTGCGTGTCTCCACTCTGGTTAACGCTGATGTGGAGGAGCATGCTACTTTTTACAACACCCGTCTGGTGTGTGGCTCAGATTCTGCTTCCTCTTGTGTGTGGCTTCCCTTCGCCGAGATTCTTCTCGGGCTCTCACGGCTTTTACGTTCACTCGCTTGGACTCTCTGGGGGTCGGTATCGTCACCCGCAGAGAACGACCGGTTCTGGTTCCCGGTGGCCTCACCCAGGCTCTCGGAGCGGAGGAGCGAGAAGCTGCAGAGCCCTGGGCTGGGGACAGCTGGGGACAGCTCCTCCGTCCCGTCGGGGTTGATGGGCCCCGTTCCAAAGTGACGGGTCAGCCCTGGTCTATGAAGAGTCCGTTTCCAGTCCGGTGTGGACTCCGGTTTTGGGGGGCGCCTCGCTCCCTGTCTCCTGACCCTAGGAGGAAGGG